TCCAAGTCGCATCTCAGAAGTTGTGGCATTGTGGCGAGAGTCTCTCTCACAGCTGAATGAGAAGGCCGGTCAGTCACTTGCTGATCCAAAGGATTATGAGAACCTATTCCCAGGATATGTAGAGGCACTGAAGACGGAACAGTTCCTCAAATCAGAGCGCCAGCAATTGGTGCCAGCATCTGAATACTCAGATATCACAGTAAGTACTGTAAATAATGGAGAATTGCTAAGTGTGAAGTGGCTAAATAAATTCCTGAATTGGCAGTTACAAAGCAATTTTTTCGCCAGAAATACAGCTCAGAATACTAAACTGATAAATAGCACTCATTTGGAGCTGTGTACTGTCTCACTCAGGGGGAAGAACATGGGTTGAGGGTGTATGACAGCCAAGTGCTGAGGTGAAAGAGAAGTTACAAAAACATGACAAAATTTTCTTGTGTTCACTTACTCATTGTTATTTAAAAAGGATGGCACACGTAACACACGAGAAAACTAGAGATGCTGGTTTGCAAAATCACAAGGGTTGAGACCACTTAGAAGGCCTCATTATAGGTGGGAGGATAATATTAAAGTGGATTGTGAAGGTATAGGTCACGCGAGAAGTGCTGGCACTTGCACAAAGGACTGATTTTGGTCGTATGAGATGGACCCGTCTGAAGCACGCACTAGGGGGTTGTCAGCTTCAGTTGGTTTGTAGCTCTAGCTGTGTTTAGATCGGTGCATCACCACAGATGAGGCTCTGCTACCCCCACAACCATGAACTCCCCTCTCTCGGCTTATACATTGCGCATTTAGGTGCCACCACTATTCGCGCGACCTTTATGAACAGAATTGAAATGACTCGTAATGTTGTTTGAGGAAATAAAATAGCTTTTCACACTGACATTCAAACAAGACACATTAATATAAAATGCAGAGTTACCGACTGTTACAGCAGCTGTCACATGTAAATACCACTGGACTTTAAAAGGTTAATAAACAGTTTATGAGGGCTCCAGAAATATGTTTTATTCAGCATTGACAAGTTAACAGAGACTAGTAGCTGGTATAAAAATGTTTATATGAAGCATACTGTCATAGTATGGACAAGCTGACTTTTTTTAATAGATTTAAGTCATATTTCTGGAGCCTTGCTGCATGTCATTCAAGATGTTTCCAGTTTGAAATCTTCTCCTTTCCAGGAATTTGATATGAATAACTTTTAAGAGTTGGTCTGTTATGTGAATTAATATATTTATTAGTTCTTGACCTCAGAGGTTGACATACTTCTAGCATTTCTGCAAGCATACTATTTATTCAAGCAACAGCTCTGTGGAACTATAGGTGAGGATGATCATATTTCAGCCTAACTATGAAAGGAATCCAATTGAAGAGATGCGTGCTGCTGAGGCCGCTGGAAAATTCCACTACATTCCCCCTGGAGTTGGTATAGATGATGAAGTTGATATTGCCACTGCTTGTGAAAACTTCTTGCAGCCAGCACCAGGTACTGACATATCAAAATAAATATTACAGCTGGTAACAGCATGTTTCTTCCTGTGACAGAAACTTGACTCAACTCTTCGTACATTGCTCTCTGGTCCAGTTACAGAGCAGTATAGTTATTACATTTCATTATTATATGTGCAACTTGTTTGGAATGAAGGTTAAGATTAATATTATGGATTTCTAGCCAGAATTAAATAAGACTATCATGGCTTAATCAAGACCTGTCCTGTTTTATTCAGTGTTAATTGTCAGCCTGTTCTGACCTGTTGTTATTATGACTTCCATATATTTGTACATATAACGGATGTCATTCTTTGCCATTTCCATACTTTATAAGGAATGATTTACCTCACTGTGCATGTGTGTCTGTCTTTCTTGCCACCAATAAGTTTTTAACCCATTTACAAGTTTTCATGAACATGTCGTATGAACATTGTGCAATTAGTGGCCACTAATTTAATTCTGTTAATTTTAATTCTGTTATCAATAATAAAACTTAGTACCTGTGTGAACTTCTAAGATTGGACCAATACTTCTGCCTTTTAATGTAGGGGCTTGAAATTCATGTGGAAGTAGAGATATAAAAAAATATCGATATCATTTCTCCTGTAATTATAATTCACACGCACACATAGGTTCATTATCAATAGTTTTATTCAACATGTGTTATGTTTTGTTTTCATATGCTTGTGTTCTTATAGGGCAAAGATTTATATGCAGATATATATTTATGGCCATGTTAAGTTTCTTATCACCTTTTTTTGTGAGGCGACTTTTTGTTGTGTGCCGTCTTGTGTTTTTTGACAAATTGGTGTGCTGCAAGTGGAATAAGGTTGCAGAACACTGCTGTAGACAGTCACTATAGTGACTGAGCTATCCTGACTTAATTTAAAAATTCTCTAGGTTAGCAAATGTTAGCTTAGGTCACTGTCTCTTTGTCACACACATGAACATTTCCATAGACAAATATTAACTCTGTATACAGGGTGATTCATAACTCTAATACAGTATGTAAGGATGTAGGGGAAATAAATTTTGAGCAGAAAATGTAAATAATGTTTCCTGAGATTCTCCAATTTTCAAGTGACAACATTTTTACATTGATGTTGCTTTGTATTATTGTGATTGTTGGGCTGTGTGCTGGAAGTTTGTGGAAGTACAGTCCACTTTGCTGTCAGGCATGTGTTCAGGTGGAGGGAGGAAACTTCAAACACTGTTGTGACTATGTACTGTATAGTACATTCAGTGTACTGACAAGTCCCTATCACATGAACAGGAAAGTGCTCAGAGGTGACAACTGAAAAATGCTAAGAAAGATTAGAATTTGTTTTATTTCTGTTATTGCAAACAAGGAATTCAATTGACATGTTATGCTAAAACAAATTGTTTTCATTTTGTAAAAATCAGTTATCACAATAGTAAAACATTGCAACTCAGAAGTGATGGTGAATCTGAAAAACTTTGTTTTGTGCTGAAAATGATCTCCCAACAACCTTCTTAAGGCTTTGATTCACTTTGTGTAACACATGCGGCTTATAACTCACCATATATAATATAATAGTTTACTCGGACTCACCAGGTACAATTTGTTTACATGTGGATGAGCAGATTCACATTTCTTGAGCTCTCTTTTGTTATAAATTTTTTACATCCACTTGTTTTTAGTTTAAACTGTTGTTTCTCTTCTCTCCAGTTGTAGGTAAAAAAGACACTGTACCTATTCCATCACTCTCAGAAAGTGTTTCATCAAAGACCAAAACTCAGAGCGAGTCTCTAGAAGATGAACTGGATCTAGACCTGGAGCTGGACAACAATGGCAGTTTGGTGAGCATACGAGACATGTGAAAGTGTGTCATAGCTAACTTTGAAACCTTGAGTTTCTATATTATTCCTTTAGTTGGGTTTAAATCATGTAATTTGAGACTCACAACAGTCCAAATTTGAATTGTGGCTTTCTGAGTTATAACAATGTGTAGTGTGGTTGGTGGTTACAAGATTTTGGAGTAACTTATTACGTCCACACTGAAAATGGAGGTGAGAAGTTTTTTCAAAATAGTGGAAATTACCACAAGACACCATAACCCAGAAGACGACAATTCAGTTTGAGTTTAAATAATTTTATAAAAAGGTATGTAAGACAGATTATGTAAAGAATGTTTTATATTCTATGCTGTAATGGCACTCTGTTTACTCCTTAAAACTCCATGGACCTTCATTTAGGGGAGGCCACATTTTGAACTTTTTGTTTGAGAACTTTTACTCCATTTTAAAAATATAATAAGACATCACTAAAATTAAATAATTATCTTAAATGGATGGCTTTCGAAATTATATTAAGCTGTGAAAGCTGCATGAGAAAGTAGGTGGTACAAGTATTTAAAACAAACGGATACAGATTGATTTAAACTTACCATATGGCAATCTTTGTTACTGCACAGCTAACAGCTATCTGTTATTTTGATTAAATCACAGAATATATGTAAGTCCTACCATGCTTCTTTACATGCAGTGAAGTTGGCAGTTATAGGTGATTCATTCACAGGAAATGATAAAAAATTGAACTACAGGATTGCACACATGAAGAAGAATAAGCATGGCCAGGGTGTGACACAGACCACTTACCCCTCCATCTAAATAAAGAACAAGAAGGAGCTGGCTGTATCTTCTGCCCATCCCCCAGCACCTCCATGATATATAGCAAGGCAGCTTTACTTTTACACAGATATTATATAAGAAAATAAATGTTATTTTCCTCACAGTTTGCATATTGATGTAAATTATTTAATGCTTTATGACTAAGTGATTGCCCTTTATATTTCTCTGAATAGTAATGATTTGTTTTCTTTCTAGGATGTTAATATAGATAATATAGATGAAGATTTACTACTTGAAGATTGAAGGATTCTGATTAATTGTGCTGAGTATTTAAGATTTCTGCTCACATTCTATGTGTGAAGCATGTATTAAAAATTTATACTGTATGTACGTATCATTTGTTATCACCAAAATGTTCAGATGAAGAACAAGAAGTGTAATCATCTTGTTGATGAAAAATAAACAGATGTTTGTTCAAACCAGTAATCCAAGTATTACTTACATGTCTGCCTACCAAACACATATGTATTCACAGCCACTGACGTTCGCACCATGTGAATTGTTCTGTAGTTAAGTGTAGCCCATGTGTGAGTACTATTTCCCTCTTACACAAAACCTTCTCCTAAAGTACTTTTCTTGTTTGTGCATGTCTACTTTTTCCATTCATTATTTTGTACGTCATCCATCACATGGTCTCTCATCTTATGTATTGTAGTATCTCTATAAAGTATGGAAAATGAGTGACAATATAGCATTGAAATAATATTTTACCTGCAGAGTTTATACGGTTGGTGTGTTCAGGTGTAGAGAGAGTGTTGGATGGCAGTTTACGTTTGTTACCGACTCACTGTTAAAACTTTCCGTTCTTCTGCAGCAGATGGCAGCATAATGTATGCGTGTGTTGACAACTTTTAACATTGAGTTACGGATCTGTATGTTGGCATAATCAGTGTGTTGCACGTGTTTGGTTCAAGATCAAAAGAGGTTGATGTGCGTACAGCTTTATCATTTGTGAATAGTAATGGGTAAAGTTAAAAATAAAGCCAAAAAGAAACGTATGTCAGATAGGGTAGTGAAACCTGATTCTCAAAAGAAAAAGGTGCTGAATCCGTTTGAAATTCATGTTAATCGCCAGAAATATTCAATCCTTGGAAGGAAAACTAAAAATGATAAAGGTCTTCCAGGTATAGCTCGTGCGAAAGCAATAACAAAGGTAATTATTTATTTGCGCCTTATTTAACGGCGTTCTCAATAGCAAATCCTCTACAGCGCAACATCCCATAAGACATGTCAGTTTTAAATTATACTGACGATGGTGTGGTACAATCGGGATCAGTAAATTCTTGGACTATGTCCATCATTTGTGTTTATTAAAAAGAACTCTACGTTTCGGAAGCTTAATCTGCTTCCGCCCTCAGGTTAAAAAGTGGTGAGGGGCGCCTACTCTGTTGGGCCCGGTTGAAAGATTAAGGTTAGTTCTTTGTATCGGACCCAACAGAGTAGGTGCCCCTCCCCACTTTTTAACCTAAGGACGGAAGCACATTCAGCTTCCGAAACGCAGTGTTCTTTTTTAAAATACGCAGACGATGGACGTAGTTTAAGAATGTAGTGATCCTGGTCTGTCTTAATACTTGCCACGGTTAGAACTTCAGCCGTGATATAATTTAAGGTTCTATCCTGTCATTTGCCTGTAAGGACTGACAAAAATCACAATAAGCCATAAACAGCATAGGTGATCTCTGGGCCAAGATATGAACCCAGTCGCTCCCAATGTTTTCACTTGTCTTGCAGCATTCAGTATTAAGGTGAACTATCAATGATGATACTAGTTTTTGTAGAAAAATGGCTGTTACAGGAGTGAAAACAGGAGATTAATTTACATCATATTAGGATTGTTTAATCTTTATAGTAGTTATTTATAATTAGTTCATATGGGTTCTCTGCATTTCTTCCCAAAATATTTTTTATTTGAGCCTTAACAGTTTGCTTGATACAGGAAGATTTTTTGGCAGCAAAGCCAAGGCATGGCCTTTCTGTTATGCATGAATACTGCATAGGTTTCTGCCCTTTGAAGTTGATTAGCTGCAGCGATGATAAGATTAAGTCATACCATGGAAAAAAACAGCACACCTGAAGGTAAAATTTACATTTTACCATATCAGATTGTGATGAAAGTTCACATACATATTGATTCCCATAGTAATACATCATCTTCTTCTTCCTCTTTTTTTAATACAGAGTGTTAAAATATCACCCCCACCATCTTATAAAAGGTATGTGAGGTTTTTATTTAGTAACTTCTTTGATTATGTACTTACATAAACATTCTATAGCTCATTGTAAACCTTATTAAATTTTCTTTCTAACGCTTATACATATACCTCATAACTTGTAGAGCTTCAGTTATAAGTGGTCACATGTTATGAACTTAGAAATTTATTGCAGAAAAGTAGCATCTGGAATTATTTTTAAACTTGTCACAAGTGTCAGTCATATACCCCTCACAAATTGTGGAAAGTAATTGATTATTAAAGCAGATGGCACATATAGTTATCACTGGGCTTTAAAAGGTTAAGAAGGTACAGAATAACTAATGTCTTAGATTATATTAAAGCCAATGTAATTATATATAATGTGACTAACATATGATAAAAACCAACTGAAAGTGACAGTTGGAACTAACTTTTTGTTATTTTCTCAGAGGAAAAAGACACTACTTCAAGAATTCAGAATAAAAGACAAGTCTAATAGGTTTCTGGATCGGAGAATAGGTGAAAAGAATAGTGCGATGACAGCAGAAGACAGAATTATGGCTCGATTTACTGTTGAAAGAATGAAGATGCACAATAAGGTAATAATATTCATGCGCTCTGGGATTTCTAAGTTTTAAGCAGTGGTATTTTATTTTTCATCAGATCAAAAAATTAATGTCTCTTATGCTCACATGTTCTTTATGTGTGCCTTAACTGTTATTTTCACATTGAATTTAATTAATTTTGGGAATGACACAGTTAAAACAAAAGATTGAAAGTACTAAGGAATTTATGAACTTACAACCAAATGTCTTCACCATTGTAGGTAACATAATATTCATGTTAAGATTATTTCAGGGTTAAGGTGTCAGTTTTAAAATGTCCATTGTAATTATTTGACCAGTAAAGCATACTATTTACTTGTAGCAGAGCTATTATTCCGTATGCTATTTTTAATTCCCTTTAAACTACATAGTTTATATAATGTCCAATGACAAGGGATGATGGTGTTTGAAGGAGATGGTTATGGCTTGAAAAAGAACTGGATGAAAGTACAGAATGGGACAGGATAACATCATGGTCATGAATTTATGGGTTTCTTAAAAATTAAGAATTTCTATTCCAGCTGAGTAACTATCAGCACGTCAAGAATGTGTCTGTTTTGTAGAGTTCATTAATTAAAATAAGAGAATTATGGTAGCATAATTTGTTTGTAATTACAAGAGTTACTGGTAATTTTCAAGGATCTCATAGATGTGAACTTCAAATAAGGAAGCTTGTGATTTTTATGTATAAATTTATTACAGAAATCAATTTTTAACTTGGCTGATGATGAAATATTGACACATCATGGCCAAACACTGAATGAAATAGAGAAATTTGATGACCCGCGAAGCGATGATGAGGAGGAAGAAGAGACAGGAAAGCTTGATTGTGAGTGTTCTGTTATATTTCTCAAATTTTCTTATGTTGAGGTGTAATATTGAAACAGAAAAGTGACAGCAATTCAAAAGAATTTAAAACTGCAAGCTGCAACTGTCATTGTATGTTTCAGTATAGAAACATCCATTTCCATCAAAGCTTTCCCATGACTTGTCAGGGATATGCCAAAGATTGACTCAAAAACTAGTGCTATGGGAAATTATTGTGTCATTAACGTATATATTTTTACAGGATTTTTTTTCACAAATTTTATATCTTTAAATCACTCCCTGCTGACATTTTCACCAGAAACACATTCTTTTATTTTGCAACTTACAAATTCACTTTATAGAATGCTGCAAAGTGTTGGCTGAAAGTGTCAATAGATGGAAAAACAGGTTAATTATTTCACTGATAATGCAAACACACATCCACACCCACCCACATGTGCACGCACGCACACAGTAGGAAGAAGCACCAGTATCATAAATATGTATCTCATTCACATGATGGGAAAGGTTGATCTTCTGTAGGCTGTTCACCAAACAGGAGATGACATGAATGTCACTGGTTTACAAAAGTTTAAGAATCATATGAAGGATGATCAGAGAATAAAGGCAAAGATCTTGAAGTGATTTACTGACTTTTTGTATGGACACACAATTTTATTCACAGTAGATAGAATGGTAATTGTTAAAGTCTCGGAGAGGACTATTAATAAAAATAGTGTGCAACTTGTACAATCTTCTTCTTCTTCTATTGCTCTCTGGTTCGTATTCGGTCCATGGCCTCCTCAGTTCTCCTCTTCCATTCGGTCCCCTGTTAGGTCCGTCTGTCCGAGGCTTTGATTGAGGTTTCGAAACATCCTCCTTTTTACGGTGCAAGGTTGTTAGCCTTGCGACCAACCCCCAACCTGGAGGACCAGGGTACCTGTCTTAGCCTGACCTCTCCCCCATGACCAGTCTGGCTAAGGAGGCCCTACCAGTAGCTATGCTACCGCCAGCATAGCTCTTCGGGTCACTGAGGTACTCAAGCCCCACCACCATGACAAGGTGCTGGTACCATTAAGTGGGGAACTTGTACAATGGCACTTTATAATGTATATCACAGATACAGTGAATTATTGCATTATATACTAGTTTTTGATTGAACCTTGTGGAAGAGTTACTTAAAATTTTAGATTAGTGAAAATGTTTTAATTTCTTTTTTAGCGACATTTGTTGAAGATGCCCATTTTGGAGGTGGTATGCTAAAGAGATCCAGTAGTGAAGGTCATACTAGTAGAAAGGATTTGATTGATCAGTTAATTGCTGAGTCTAAAATACGTAAAGCTGAGAAGCAGCGGGCTCGTGAACAAACAATTGAACTGACAGAAAAGCTGGACACAGAGTGGAAGGATCTGCTGCCAGTTGTGTCTGCTTCTAAGACATCTTTGAATAATGTGGTTGATAATGATGACAAGCCAGATTCCTATGATACAGTTATGAGACAACTGAAGTTTGAAGCTCGAGGAAAGGTATGTTGCAAGTTGCACATTCTGTTCATTGTTAACACATTTACAACTGATGTAATATTTGTCATGTACTTTGCAAGGGTTACCTCTCACCCATGTTTTTGATACTAGCCATATAAAATATGCACAGTTCACAATGTACACTCACCTGATGACTTTTTTGTTGTTGTAATGTTTATTTTCCTTTCTGTCACTGTGATCTTACATGCATCCATAACCAGAATTATAGATATAGCATACATCTTATATATGTAATCTGTCTGGCAGATTTTACTCAAATTTTGAGTTCTTGTATTGTTCCTTGCACCTTGTAAACCTGTGTTGGGGAATCATTTGTTGCGAAACACTCTCGTTTGAGTAGAGAAACCTGCTCTTGTAGTGACCATAATACTCGAAAAGGTGGTGCTCCTTTTGGAGTATATTGATTTGAAAGTGCTGTCTTGTGAAACACTCTTCTTTCTAGACACCATGAAGTCAGTTTCAACATTGACCTGTGTAAACTTAATTCTGTTGCTTTTATGGCAGCCATTAGACCGACTAAAATCAGAAGATGAATTAGCACGAGAAGAGAAAGAAAGACTCGAAAAATTAGAAAGGGAACGATTACAGAGAATGCGCGGACTCAAAGAAGATCTTGTACCTGAAAGGAAGCACAGAAGTGCAGATGATCTGGATGATGGGTTTGTATTTAATATGAACAAATTTTGAATGTTTAATGGTAGATTTTATTGTGGAAATAGTATACAGGTTGTATTTTCCAGTTTTGAAGTGGAAAGTGAAGAAGAAGTTATGATGAGTTACAATGCTGATGGGGAACTGGAGATGAACACAAATCATGAACTAGAACAAGATGAGAAGCAGGATCATGAACGTGAGTGTTCTTCAACATTAACTAACTAATTGGCACCAAACATACTGGCATGGCAGTAACACTCTAAGCTTGTGTTCAGGGGATACTTGGTTTGAGCCGCTTCCTGTTGCCAGCTGACTTTGGATTTTTCAGGTTTCTCAGGCCAGGCAAATGCTGGGGATTACTTTGATTAGGCCACAAATGCTTATTACTAGTTTCTTAGCTTATCACTATTCATAACCATTTTCCTTTCTGATTGGATTATATGTACTCCAGAAATAATATCACTAAATAGCCTAAAAATCATCTAGCTCTGATAGTATAACTTGAAGTTTAAATTGTGCTAATACCAAGTCTTGTTCACTGGACATGATTTTGGTCTTGTTACATTATTCTTCCATTCTCACAATATACTTCTCCGTGATTCATGTTCATGTCCACTGTCTTCCAAGAAGTTTCTGAACTAAAATTCACATATATTTCTCCTGTGCAAGTCGCATTCCCAGTCCTTAATGAATTTTTGCTTTTGTTATTCAAGCATATGTGACTTCTGTAAATCATATTTATCTACATTATGTAATACAAATTTCCCATTGATTTTGTCTATCTTGAAATATAATATTTTTCACTTTAACAGAAATTTTTAAGGTCATTTATCACATTCATAAGTATTGGTAATCTGGCTTAGGAGGACAGATGGTTTATTGTCAGACACAGTAATTTATGAGCTAAGTTAATTGGTTTGTCTTACACTTTGTTTTATTTTTACTGCAGAAGATGAAGAAAGAGAAAGGAACTCTTCTCATTCCTCAGAAGAATCTGAGCAGTTTGATGATAATGATGAAGAAGATGAAGATAACATTGATGATTTGTCTGACTTGAAGAATGTTTATCACAGTGATGATGAGAATACAGAAAATAAAGGTTTGTATTATGTATTCATAGCTTGTCAACCTGTGGTTTGTCAGATTGCTTTTATAGACATATTATTACTATATTTATATGTTAATAACATGACTCTCTCTCATCCCATTCACAATGAAAAGATAATTGTACTAGTTGTACAGTTGTAGTTCTTATGTGCAATATTCAGGAACAAACATAACCTTTTTACCCATTTGTATATAATGGCCAAATGTAGGTCTACAGAATGTTTTTCTTGTAAAACTTGTTCTTTGCAGTGCTTCATCACTACAGAATGGCCTCAGAAGTGTTTATTATGTTTTATACCAGATAATCATTAGTTTGAAGTTTGTATCATAATGATTTTTGCAGTAAACAAGGGAGCAGCGTAGCCGCTTCTATGCGGGCTTCCACGATTGTGTCACTTGATATATCGAAGTTCTGTTTAATAGGTACATTTACTGTAAACACTTTCTAAGGAATGGAACACACAAAACAAATGTTTAGTATCATCACAAATAATGTCTTGACAGTCATTACAAAATTTTATTGCACATCCTCAAACTAGCCACTGTGGCATACCTCATAACTCATGTTAGCATATATTTATATTATGCCATTACAGTATGTACCAGAAAACTGAGCCAAGGCTCCAAAAATATGAGCTGGATCAGTTGCATGTGAGTATGGTGGTAACAGTAATAAAAATTTAACAATTACTGCTTACATAACGTGATATTAATTCAAACTCTACACGCACTATTTTTGAGGTATACCACAGTTGCCAATGTCTGTTTATGCAGAAACTGTTGAATTGTGTTATATGTATATAAACAAGGGGTCATCTTATATTCACAAGGATATATATAAAATTGTAATGAAAATTAAGCTGAGAGAATCTCATCTTATATTTGGGTAAGTATGTCATTCATAAGTATATCATATATGTAAGTAAGTATAAGTATATTTATATCATAAATGTTTTATTTGTAGGTTGTAATAGGACATTTAATAATATTGAGTGAATTTTTTTTAGGTATGGTTGCTGAAAATGTGAATTTGGAAACAATGCAAAGCACAGACAGAAATTATTGTGAAGACAGGACAGAAAATAAAATAAAAATTGATCTTCTGGCAAGGAAAGAAATGATGGAGAGAGCAAGAAGTGAATTGCCATACACATTCAAGGGTAAGGATATGTGAAAGAACAAAAATATATAAAATGTGAGCTGCTGGACTGACTGTTGAGTAAAACAACAGTGTGAAACACGGTTCTAGAGTCTTGACTATTCCACAGTGGGCGTATTGCTTGTCAGAGGTGAGGGATGTGCAAGGTATATGGAAAAATCTTTGCTGTAACCTGAAACCTTGGACATAGAAGATTTTCCTTTGGACCACTATGTTCCTGATAGATGAAAATTTAAAAAAGCTTTAAGTTGTCTACATTTCTAAGATGTCATCTATGTACTTAATTGCATCCTGAGGTCCGAATCCAGCAGTGAAAAGTTCCACATCTTCCCTACAATTGTACATGACTTCGAATTCAGAATCTGTACCACCAGAACCACTCTCTATCATTGCATTATCATCATTTACTGCAGAGTTTCCATTGTCCTTTTCTGAATTCAACAAACTTTTTTTATAACCTGTATTTAAACTTTCATGATGTGTTGATTAGTTTCCAGTATGATACATAAATACAGTAAGTTGCTTTGTGTGTTTATTAGTTCCAGATACGTATGAAGAGCTTCAGGCTGTACTCTGTGTTCAAAGTCCACACCACCAAGCTGTGATTCTGGAGCGTATGATGAAGTGTAATCATCCTAGTTTAGGTGAAGGCATGAAGGACAGACTAACTAATCTTTTTGGCTTCCTGTTGCAACATCTTCAGGACACAGCAGTTTCCACTGAGGTATGTGATGACTGTGCCCATTTGAGTTTTACTTTTTAATTGATTGATTCTCTGGTTAGTTAACAGTGTTCTTTTACTATGTAACTTACGTGTTTTTACGTGGTAGGATCTCTGTTACTTTATAAATAACATCCATGCACTTGTTGAGAAGGACTGAGGAAGAACACAGAAAGGCTTCTGTGCAGAGAATAATGTCCATGTATCTGTTGAATTAGTGAATGTGCCATTCACAAATTTGCAAGTCAGTGAATCACATCAGTGACCAATTGGTTATGGGTCTCAGATTCACAGAGCAGTCCTTTACTTTGATCAGTCAACTATAGCAAATACTTTGTTGGTCTTGTTAAAATTTCTAAGACCATGTTCAGTAGCTGATCTATATGTTGTTAGTTGCAGCATGTGTGTAGTGGCATGGCTACACAATTCATATAAATAAGTAGGATTTTCCATCTGTTATGTTGGCTGTCCTGCTGACTGCCTTCTTGATAATGGTATCATTAATCTCTGCCTGTAAACTGTAGGTTATAAGGTGCAAACACTAGGGAGCTCCATCTCGTTCATTGTTCGATCAGCAAGTCTTTATTCATTGACTATAATCATTCACCAGTCACTTAGGAGGTCTGTATATGCTGATTTGTCTAATTTACTAGTCACTCAGTGAGTCTTCATTCAGTTTTGTCATCCATTCATTGTCAATATTCATCACTTTATGAAAATTGCACTTTTTCAGTTCCAAATTCTTTCTGTTTCATATGATATTGTGATGCACTGCATACTGTTATGACCCTTATTTTATATCTGAAAATTTTTCTGAATGACATTTATAATTTTTTGAGGAACAAAGATAATTACTAGATAAATTTTATTACGTGTATGCCTGTTCTTAATTTTTTATAACTTTGTTGGTTGTTAATTTTTAAATTGAGAGTCAGGTGTTATTTACTTCAGTTATTACTTATGCAGATTTACTTGCAAGTGCTGAAAAAGGAAAGTGATACATGGTACCATTTCTTGGTACTACTTTTGAATTTGCCTTCTGTATATACTGGGAACGACCCATTCTTCAAGTGCCTGAGGACTGCGGGTCCCAACTTTTCGTTGGCTTGATCTATAGACATTCGGTAGGACTCCTTGGACGAGGGATCGGCCCATCGCAAGGCCTCTACCTGTACACAGGACAACACAGAAAAACGCGGATAAACATCCATGGCCTTCTGAATATATGTTTAGTTATTTTCCTGTTCCCTGCATCATGCATTTTCATGAAAATTAACTGACCCCACTGAGCATAGGCTCTTGTGAGAAGCTGGTGGTTAGTTATCTTGTCATGAAATTCCCTGCCTCTCATGGAACCCAGTTATTCATTGATATGTCCAATATAATATGTGAGTCTGAGATGTGAAGAGTTGTTGGCTGTGCCCACCCCCAAATATTTGCACTATGTAATGTCATAGTAGTAGTAGTAGTTGTAATGCAGGATTTAAAGTGATGTCTTTAATGGAGTAAACAGGTTAAATAAATGTATCACCCAATTTTGCTCATGTCTATACAAAATATAAAACAGGAGTGCTAACCACTCAACTGCAATATTTCACGGTGATACTGATTAATTGTAAAGTATTTTGGTTATAGCTTCTAATATGTTTGGAATAAACCAGGACTTTTCTGAATTCTCTTTCATTACCTTGATGAATGTGAGGAATTCGAAACCCTCCACAGTGGTTTGGATCTTGCAGTAATTTGTAGATCCCCTCTGCTGATCATCATCCTCATCTTCATATTTTTAGTGGGAGTGACAGAAACTGCCTTTTACTTTATAACAAAATGTATCTGTGAATGATAGGGTATGAAGATGTGGACTCAATTTAACAGGTTCAGGATGTGGTAAAGTGTCAGGCTGTTTTGAATGTGAGTTCTGTAAAAGGTAGAGATTTTTTGATGAGCTGAATAACTATCAACTACAAGAAGAAAATTATTTTAAGGTATAAATCTGTGCTTATAGTGGAAGTGTTTGGCACAAAGAGTATATCTTCATGTCACAGATTCTGTTAATGTAAGATTATTCTTTTACAGAATGAAGAGGGTTGCAACTGTTTTGCTGTGCTGGACAGCATACTACCTCATCTGTATGATTTGTCACAGATTACACCCCAGAATACTGGTCATTGTGTTGCAGACATACTGAAGGAGAAGCAGCAGGACTTCAGAGCACACTGCAACTCTTTTCCTGGACTTGATACAGTATGTTTAAGAATGACAGATCATGTACATACCAAAATATACATGCACATTTCATGTGAAACATTCTTTTTCTTACATAGAAACTTACAAGTGGAATTTAGGATATTATATTTTTGGAGCTTCATGGAGCAGAGTCATCTTGGTGACAGAAGGGTTGAAATATTCTATGCTACATATTGTAACTTATCGCAAGAGCAACCACACTTTTGCCACATAAGCACATGTAGTCATCTTGGAATAAATTGCCACATAAGCACATGTAGTCATCTTTTAATACACCACACTGAGAAGATAGTTTGATGGAACAGTACAGTTCCCAAAGCAGGGATCATGAATTTTCAGACAGAGAACTGTATCATTCTATTGCATTATTGAAGTTTAATTTAAATTTTGTGAACATAATTATTTCAGGAGAATCATGTTGAACAATTTTGCATGTTGGTACCATCATATTGATATGCTCACTTCATTGGTAGTTCATGCTTCTTCCTAATTGTTCCAGCTGGTGTTCCTGAAGCTCATCTCCCACCTGTTTCCTACGTCAGACTTCCGACATCCTGTGGTGACACCTGCTTTTGTGTTTATATGTCAGATGTTGCATCAGTGTAGAGTGAAGACTACTCAGGACATAGCAACAGGCCTGTTCCTTGTGACACTCATACTGGAAGTAAGTACACAGTAAGTGCTGACTGATGCATTATTTAATCATGGTGTTTAAAACTGAAGAGGTTAAATAGCATCAAGTGAAATTAGATAATGATCGTGAATAATCAATAGGTAAGGATTTGGAAGAAGGTAGTCATGACATATTTGATGGTACTATCTTGGCATTTGTTTGGAGAAGAGGAAGACAAAGAAATTGTCTTCTGTTGGATCTCTAAAAGCAATTTGTTGTTCTCTTCTTCGGATCTTGTTTTCAATAAGGACTATTAAGTCACTTGGGTAAACCATCTTGATCTGTGTTTTCTCCTCATCTGTCATTATTTCCACTAACAGGTAGGTTAGTGAATGAAAAACTTCCAGATATGTTTTGTTTCCTCACTTTTTTTATCTCAGCCTGCATGTCTCTTCAACTTTCAGTACTGTCATTTCCCTTAGTTAAGTCATCTCAGTGTTTGTCACCTCTTGTGGCATTGTTTCCACGGGGTGGATGAAAAGATTTCAAATATCAGTTCCCACATTTTTTTGTTTTCTGTGTCAGTCCATACTCTTTCTCTACTTCTCTGAGAGTCAATCATTGCATTAGCTTTGTCGTTTGGCTCTGTCACTTTCACTTGCATCTCTTCTGGGTAATTTAATTTGCTGGAGTATCAAGCCTTTTAGCATTCCCTTGTCTCTGTAATCTTTGTCTCTAATACCTTCAAGGGTCTATAATATTCCAATAAGCTTTTATGAGTACAGTAAAGCTATTGTAGGGTCAAAAAGATGATAATTGGTTTAATTTCCTTTCATAGAGTTCATTGTAGTACTAAATATTTTTCTTTTATTTCAGTACACAGTTCTTTCCAAGAGGTTTTCTCCAGCAGTCGTCAATTTTCTTTGTGGCGTGCTTGACATGGGGGTGTCCAAAACATGTGCAAAACTGGTTTCTGTTGTGTATCCAGTGCACATAGCTGGCAAGGCTAGAAATCTGCTTGTTCTTTCTGAGCCTTCCACAGTTAGGTATGAAATTATTTTTCACACTTTTATTTATATTTCCACAAAACTGCTTTCTGTGCTTGCTATCACATTTTGAAAACATATATGGGGTGCAGAGGTAAAGCTCCACACATCCTAACTCTGTGCACTAGATGAAAGTGAGTGGTCGGCATCATGCTCTGGCAGCTTTACTGCTGAGTGAAGAGTCTCCCATTACGCAGCTAGTCTGGATGTGATGGTGAAGAAAGTCTGTGCCCTTCCCAGGAATTGAGCCCATAGCCAGTCACTTCATTAACCGAGCTGTTGTACCTCAGTTACCAAATTCTTTCCATTTCTTTATTATAACTGTCTTATTCATAGAATTACAGAAATTTTACAGGCTTTAAGTAGTGAGGTTCTTATATTTCCTTTGTATTGTATTCATTACATAACAGAAAAGTCTGAAGATTACAGTAAAGTTTGTCCCGCTATGTGTTGTGAAGGCACTTGGGGTGAGTGGAGGTGTAGCTCCTCTCTTTCTTGACCTCAGCACTAGATGGGGGTGAGTGGTCCATCACCCCCAGCCGGCTTTACCCCTGGGAAAGGACCCCGGTACCCATTGGATAGGAGGCTGGGTGGGCCCCAGAGCCGGTCTGGACGCAGAGGCTAGAGAAAAAAATCCTCTGCCCCTGTCGGGGATCGAACCCCGGCCGTCCAGCTTGTAGCTAGTCACTATACTGACTGAGCTATCCCGGCTCATTCTGAAGATTACACAATTATTTAAACACAGACAGTACTGGAGTTCTGAATTAAACATATTTTAAACAAAATTAACGAGCTTTATCTTCAAATGCATGCTGTGAACGCTCATTCATTAAATTGACTGGCTACCAACAGCAGCTGGAGGTTGAAATCCGAGAAGATGTATTGGGACGTTTGTCTTTACCACCACGAGCAGAACAGTGATTGGGGTTTGTCTGCCATTTGTAGTGGGTACTGTATAATCTTTCTCCAGGGTGGCATGTGTATGAAACTGATGAGTTAACTTCATCGAATACCAAGGTCAAAAATGAATGCAGTCTGAAGACTGTAGCATGGTGCTTAGACATAAAAGCAATTTTATCTGCAGTCTGAAGACTGTAGCATGGTGCTCAGACATAAGAGCAATTTTATATTTACTTTTATATGCATAAATGTGGAGAAACGTTAGAAAACATTGTACTTGCATACTCCATTTGGCCCACATTAATTTACATACAAGTGTACATGCACGTTCTTGATTGAGTTGTAGTTAGTGATGTTAAAACTTTGAAATTCATTTAATGAAAATGAAGGTTTTAATTTTAACTTTGCTTTTTCAGTAACAATGAAACTCAGCTGATGAATTTAGATGATCTACAAGAGACGCTTCCTGAAGATGATAGTTTTAAATTACGTGCATTACACACAGCTGTGAAACTTTTACTGGAGTTTTGTTGCCATTTAGAAAACATGTCTGCAAGTTATCACATTTTCAAGCCTGTTCTCACTACACTGAAGCAGTTGGAGGTGGTAAAATATCCATCCTTTCTTCAAGAAGACATTAAAAGTGTCATTTCAAAGGTAGAGAAAATGGAACAACAAAAACTGCAATTCTTGGTTATGGAAAAGAAGAAACCTAAAGCTTTGCGGTTGTATGAACCGAGAGTTGAAGAAGTGTAAGTACTGAGTTAGTAGAGATGAGAAGTGTCTGCAGATTTGTGACTTGTGCTCGTTCTGTGTAAGCTCTTTCATTTGTGATTTAGGAGAGCAAGACTGTTCCACTTCATGTCATTTCTGCTTCTTTTCCATTTTTACTCTTTTTTTCTATTCTTCCTCTCTTCATCTACCACCTGTTCCTCTTTTTTATCTACTGTGTCACAGTTTGAAATTCATTATTTTTGCCCGTGTCATGTCTGTTTTCCATTTCAGTCCTTGCTTTTTCTAGTCATTATGTTCACATGTATGAGTTGGGATAGCTCAGTCAGTATAGTGACTAACTACGGGCTGGACAACCGGGATTCAATCCCCGACGGGCAGAGAATTTTTCCTCTAGCCTCTGCGTCCAGACCGGCTCTGGGGCCCACCCAGCCTCCTCTACAATGGGTACCGGGGTCCTTTCCCGGGGGTAAAGCCGGCCGGGGCGTGATGCTGACCACTCACCCCCATCTAGTGCCGAGGTCAAGAAAGAGTAGGAGGTATACCTCCACTCACCCCAAGCGCCTCTATGGCACGTAGTGGGACAAACTTTTATGTTCACATGTACAATTTACTTAGTTTTTAAACTCTTCCACACTCTGACCTTGGCAGCCTAGCTGTCAGCATTAATTAGGGGATTATCATGAAAGAAGATGAAAAGGTACACGAATCCTGAAAACAGAGGCTAATGGAAGATGTGATAAGTCTGGCAAGGCTCATCTGTAGTTGTTTTTAAGGAAAAATGAGGAATATTTTACAAGCAGGCTGCAGAACATAATTTACATTGTATGAAATATTTAAGTACCTAATTTTTCTCAGAAAATGTGTGTTACTATTTACTTTTTTTTAAACGCCACTAAAAGATGTTATTTATTAGTTCTGTGTTTCTAAGACTTGTTGTTTCTTGCTGTGAAGGACAAACATACTATACAGTTATATGAAACGAAAGTACAGGACAAGTCTAAATGATGTTCTCAATTTGAAACACATGTTACTCACGTTTAATGAAATTCAGATGCACAAAATTGGTACCGATGGAAAGAGAAACTGTCTGGGAGGAACTCGACTACAGGCTGGATGTGTGCTGAGTTACCAAGGGGGTTCACATTGAACACCTATGATGTACTGAAACAAAACTTGGAGAGTTTCTATTTCCATCGGTATCAATTTTGTACATCTGAATTTCATTAAATGTGAGTAATATGTCTTTCAAATCGGGAATATCATTTAGACTTGCCCTGTACTCAGATATTTGGACTTGACAGAGATGAAATGGTTAATGAATGATATTACACAATGAGAAACTTCTGATTTATACAGCTTTCCGAGGATTGTTTCAGTAATCAAATCAAGGGGTTTCATTGACTCGATTATATACATTGAATGTGATGGAATATGAGCTGTGGCCTTGAGCTGTGCGGTATTCATGTGAAGATACAACTCAAGGCAATAGCTCACTTCCAACTGAACTACATGTACTTGTAGATGATTTATAAGAAAGAAAAAATGTGTGCATGATTTTGATGAGGAAAATTCCTAGAAGACGGCCACTTTTAAGACTCAGGATACAAGAGGATAATATTAAGATTAATCGTAAGGAAATAGTTTGTATGGTGGAAAGTGGTTGAACTGGTTAAGGATCATGGGCCATGGTAGGCTTTAGTTGAACTTTTGTGCTGTATTAACTGATTCTGTAAGACATTATTTAACCATTCTCATATACTAAGTTTTAAGTGTTTTTTTGTTTTGTTTTGAACAATGTAACAGTCTTTATGTGTTTGTAGGTTTGATGGAAGGAAGAGGCGACCCATGGGAAGGGAAAGGCAGGAGCACGAAAAGTTACTGCATAAATATAAACGTGAAATGAAAGGAGCTATTCGTGAGATTCGCAGAGACAAATCTTTCCTTGCCAAGCTCAAGCTTAAACAAACTTTACAAAAGTGAGTAGAACAATACTTTGAGCACAGATGGCAAATATTTTTATTTGAGTCACATTCAAATACTATTTCATAGTGACAGTGGGCCATGGATTTTTTGCAGAAAAATTTCTGTTCCATTACTGGTTGAATTTAATTGTTTCATGTGTCCACAGGCTTTATTTTCAAGATTTCTGTCCTCTGGGTTGTTGTGCTGTGTAGTCTGGTAGATGTTAACCAATGTTTCTTAGGTCATACTGCCTCCATCATCAGGCCTTGGTGACAGAGGCAGTATGACCTCTGAAAC